CTCTGATTTTGAGCTTTAAATGGATGAAGCATCAGAGGGGCCCTCAGTCACAAGCAGTGGTTGACTTAGATATGCTCTTGATGGGGCTGTATTGAAACAATCAAACCAACATGGACTCCATTCATGATGAACACATATGTCAACACTGTCTCAGAACTGGAATTTTCCAAGCTCCAGCTAAAATGAAATCATAATGCCAAACCAAAGCGGCATAACCAAAGAGAAACAACAAAGGTGCATGAAACAAAGTCAAAATGAAAGAGCAAATCTGAACCAAAATGGTCAAATCCAAAGCAAAACGATCAACACGTGTTTTGAGTCAAGCAAATGTTTTGCTGAAAGATTCGCCAAAATCAATACAGGCCTATGAAAGAATTCAGCTTTAATAAGTGTTTCTCAGCAAAACACAGATTTGTGTTTCAAAAACTCGACCACCTCTGTGTATGAAGTTTATCACGTTCAGTTTTGTTGTAGGTGTGTAAGGCAAAAGCTGTATACTTCTTGATTAGTGCATTTCTGGAGTGCAATTTGTTCTACAGATACTACAGAACAAAATGCCCCATCCAAAGTCGGTTGAACTCTGTGGCAAGATTCCCACAAACTTCAGTGAATCAGACCTGGTGAGGCTGGGGGGCTGAGAGATGGAAATGAATAAATACCCTACAGCTCTATGCAAGAGCTAACTATTAAATTAAATGAAGTAAGTATTAAAAATGATAATTCTTTTGCTGATATGTTATTGTCTTGCAAATAAATATAACTGTTCAGCAAGAGTTTTTCTATCTTTTTTTGTTTTAATCTTAAATAGAAGTTCTATGTGTTAACACTTGAAAAACTTTTCCTCTAACGATGGCTTCCAAGAAGCTTCAAGTACTTAATCATGTGTCTAACCTGAAACTTTTTCAAGGCCCATCAGATACGTGATTAGGTACCTCTCAGACAAAAAGAACTAAAAAAGCTGGCAAAAGTCTTGGACAGATGAGAGAAAACACGCGGATACTGTTTCAGAAACTCAGAGCCATGTGGTTTCTGTAGAGTGAAAACCACTTGTGATCAAAGGGAAGAAGGTTTTTTTTATTTTTTAACAAGATTTTTAGATTTTAAATCATGTATTATTAGTCTGGGCCACTTTAATTTTCTTAAAGTCAGGACAATTTGTGCAATGTAATTTTGTAACCAGAACGCTGCTGAAGTTAAAATCCTGAACTTAACTGTACTGTTAAATGCTGTCCAGGTTGGCTGTTTTATTGAAACTAGCGCGTATGAATTGTAAGTTGAATTTACTGCTTGGGTTACTGTTTTTCATGTATTTTAATAAATATGAGTCCTTTTTAAAAGTAAGCCACATGTTCAAAATACAGATTGAGATTTCTTTTAACTGCAATTCAAAATTAATATTTTGAGATTTTTCACCAGAGACTTTTAATAGGATGATAGAAGTATCTAAGCAGGGCTGAAGAAAGAGCTAACCCCTTTCTTAAATATACAATTTATCTTTGTAATGACTAAAAGGGATGCCTGCTTTGCCACAAATGTATTGCTTCAGAGTACGTGTAAATTCATGCATTGGACTCATCCTTTCTGTGGCTGGGAGACGCTTGTTTTGGTGGCCTTACTCAGGCAGTATAGTATTACTCAGCATGAGTAAAAGTGGCAGACGCAGGCCCTTCATCATTGCCATTTCACCTTAGACTAAATGTGCAACATGTGGCCATAACCCTCAAAGCTGAGTCAATGGGAACTTCACTAGCTTTCACACAGGAGGCAAAGGAAACTTTACAGGGATGCTATAAAAAACCTGAGATCACCGCATGAACATCTGTGCTGCAGACACAGAAGGGTGCTCGTGCTACCTGGGTAGCTGGCTTGATCCTGCCCTTCTCACAGAGGCACTCTGTGTTTTTCCCTTTAGCTGAGTAAGATCTCATAAATGCATGTAACAACCTCCCTTTTTTCTTCTTTGTCAGCAACAGAAGTTTTTTGCTGGTGTGACGGGGTATTCAGTCAAGGAGGGAAACATAACAGTGTAAAGTGAGGCACTTAATGAGCACAATAAGAGCTATACGCACTGGACTGGAGTTACGTGGAAAGAGTCAGGATCTTAGGGAGGACTGTTTTGTTGTTTGGCATGGTGGGAATTGCTGCGTAAAAGCTTCCTATCAAACTAAAAGCAGTCAGAGCTTGGGGTAGCGGATTTTATGCAATGGATGACTACACCAAAGCTTTGAAATAAAGATAAGAAGTTTTGGAAGAAACTTCCAGACAAAAGACGATTTGAAACAAGGACTTAAATTCAAGCCTCCTGCTATACTGTAGAACCATTTTTTAATTTCTTGCCCTTTTTCTGCCCCCAGAAAGGGACTGGCTCCAAGGCTCCAACAGGAGAGAGTGACTCACTCTGGAGCCACTGCTTCAGGCAGCTGCTTGAGATGTGAAAGAGTAAGATGCTAGGCAGCAAGTCTTGTTACTCACCACTTGCATAAATCTTTTAGCAAAAGCAATGAAGAGTTACAGCTGGTTCCTGTGAGATCCTGAGCACCTTCTGAGAGCGTGAGAGAGCTTTCAGTAACTTCTGAAATATGTGGCAGACAGGCACCCTGAAGGAGGGTACACAGTTCAGCATTACGCTCCTGCATTCCCCTACACAAAACCAGACGTATTTGGCAAAACCTGAGCCATCTAGCTAGCAGCATTTAATTAATTCTGATGTAATGCTGATTGTAATTAAAATTGCTAGAGAGCAGCCCACTGTCTACCAAATTGTGCGGGTTCTGTTTAGTCTTTTTTTGTTTCTTGCAAAAGGGTTGATAGTCGTAGACTGTCTACTTCCTGGGTTGCAGACTGATGAAATATTTATTCTCCACGTATCAAGGGCAAGAGTTTGTAAAAAAAACCAAAACAAAACAGTTATACAAAAGGTAAGAACTCAATCCTTATCAAGGATGTTTTCAGAACAAATGGTATGTCGCTAGAATTTGTTGACTAAAACTTCTGGAAAGAGCATTGAAAATGCACATGTTGTTTGAAAGGGGTGAAATTCACACAAACAAGCAGAAAGTTGGAATTTGTCCTAACCAAAGACTAGATTACAGGCAAAATGTCCAGTCTCTGCTTTGGTCTTTTCGAAGGACTGATGCATTTCATCCCCATTAAAGGCAATTTGACCCACAACACTTAAAACCGATCATAAAAAATTGGGGGGAGGGACAGAAGGAGTCTCATGACAAAACTCTGCTCTGCCGATTAAAGCACACACTCCTGAATTTAAGTAGTCCTTATTCCTGTGTGCAGTTCCCTTGAAGTCCATTAGGACTACTTCCACATGCAAAGTTTTGGAACATCTTACCCACAAGCAATAATGGAAAAAAAAAAAGCAATCCTATTTGAAAATGAGAAGAGAGTCGGAGAACAGCCGGACTGTAACGTTACAGCAGATGTTGGGATTTGTTCTCAAGCAATAACGTTTATTCATAAATGAGCCTTCAATACCTGAGTTGGAAAGATCTGCAGCTGCAACTGGTTCACCATCCACAAAAGTGGTGAAAGTACAGGCTGCATATTTCAAGCAGTTCTGACTTAGAGTCACAGGACTGAGTCAAAAAAAATTATATTCATATTTAAAGACCAAGTTCTGAACTTTTAACTCAACACAAGTAGCCTTTACACCTCAATGTCAATTGTACTCTTTGCAGTCACAGGAACTTCCTTGAACAGAGAGGCCTGCAGGAAAACTATTGAGCAGTCCAACCTCCCTATGCTGCTGCAAGTCTCAGGGAAGCATGACATTCAGAGGGGAAGAAGCAGTCTGATCTCTTAGATGTGATGATCCTTCCAACAGTATCAGTGTCCTCCTGCACAAAGAACACTCCTGTCACAGATGGTCTGTGGTATTTGAAAGGGCTACACAGAAACTTACATGTTGCACATCATGAGATGCATGGATGGGTTTCTGGAAGTGTAGGAAAAGAGTAAGGAGTCATCACTAATGACAGAGAGAAATGTAGGAAGGATGTTCTGGAGGAGGCCAGGCAGATGAGATCAGGACCTCCATGGTGGAGGGAGATGGGCAGGGATCTGGAACTGATGCACAGGTGAAATGATATAGGGAAGAGAAACTCAAGTACACTAGAAGGTGGTGAACCTTTTGGGACAAGAGGAACCTATGCAACGATAGGCTGCACCACAATAATAGGGTAGCCAGCTGCTGGCACTGAAGATGGAAGAGGTTACAGAGTAATATTTAACCCTAAAGCCAAAGGAAAGCTGACAGGTGTGTGGAGGAGAACAAGTTTAGATCGATGCAGTCTACCAGGTGAATGTGGCAAATGCCTGATGGGCCTCTGAAAATATGAGGGAAACAAGCAGCAGTAAGAAAGGCAATTTAGACCATCCACAGTACCAGCTGACTGGCACGTGAAACACTGAGTGAGTGAGAGGAGAACTTACAACTGCTTTAGAAGCCTAAAAATATGATGGGATAAAATGCCTGGAATCCAGAGACATCCCCCAAATTACTGGCATCTCAGAGACCTGAGAATGGCCAGGCTTGTATGCAGTCTGTAACCAGCCTCTCTTATTGCCATGACTGGAGACAGAATATCAAGTTAGATGACAGTCATTCACCCAGTCAAGTAGGACATTTCTTCTGTTCTTGTGTTCACTAACATGACGCAAAGATACCAGGGCGCACCTAGGCACCAAAATATGTAGCATCCGCAGTCTCAGGGTGACTGTGGATATGGTGTGTTACTCTGTATAAAGACACTGCTCAGGCTGAAATCTTACCTTAAAAGTTTGCCTATGTTTACCTGCCAATGTTACTTTAAGGCATTTGTCTTAGTTCGGCTTTTCTCTTTTTTGTAAAGCCATAGTGATAAAACAATTTTTTTAAAACTCATGTGCACCACAAGAACTGAAACAAAACACATATTAAAGAAAAAACTTTTCAGGGTTAGCATGGTGAGCATACTGAAAATTGTAACTAAAAAAAAAAAGCTTACGTTCATAGCAGTAGGCATCAAACTTGCTATCTGGGTAAGGAAAGCCTGTTTGGTTCTCATAGCGATACAGGGTTCTCACCCCAAGTAAACCTCCACCACACTGGGGCCTTGCCACAGAGGCTGGGTAACGAACGCTGCCATCTGCCAGCCAGCCATAGTCACACTGGTCAAAGCCATTCCTCCAGGCGACATACATGTTCCCAACAGAAGCAAGGACGCCATCTCTTTTCCGACACAGCTCTTTAGCTTCCTCAAAGGTGAGCTTCTCAGGGACTGAGACATGAACAACTTCACCTAATGGAAGAAAACAAAGATAACAAACACTGAGTATCACGTTCCACCATTTAGTCAGCTTAGTTCCCCTTTTCCAATATTTTTTGCTTAAAAAAATCAGATAATCAGAAAATCAAATGTCCCAGATTTGAATATGAAAATGAACCTACCACCAAGGATGAGCATTTATATGCAAACTTTAGGATAGGAGATTGAGTCCCTCCCTCAGTCTCTAGGCAGAGGCAATAGCAGCCTTGAAGCTCCTCTGTGACTGCTGTTGGAGTAGACTTTGCAACTCAGCTGCGTTAATTAAATCCAGTCCAACAGACTTTACTTTCTCAGTAAAACAAATCTTTTACATCTGCAAGCCTCCTACCTGACCTTTTTAGTCATTACTAGAATCTCACTTGAGACACACAAAAAAAGCAAATGTTCTTCACTGGCTGCTCCACAGCAGCTCCTAATGTCATATTTCCATCAGTCGTCATCTTGCCTCATGGGGAAACAAAGGCGAGGGAATGCAGTAGACTTGTTGCGTGCACAAAGACCCTTTTGTGTGAAAAAGTTGAATTAGTCTAGAATGCTGCTAGTATAGTTTAGCTTTGATGGAATATTAATTTGTAAACAATAGCCTTCCAAGTTGGAAACTGAAACAAAACAAATGTAACATCCAATATTTTACTTCCAAGCTAAATCACCATTATGCAGTTGGCTTGGTTGCTTTGTTCACCCAAACACTATAAAGAAAATCAAGGCTCTAACATTCATATCCTGGGAATGAAACAGTAAACTGATTCCTTCCTAGTTTTTGCTCAGACTTCAGATAGAACTGATGAGACCTAAAATCAACACGTTCAGCTGTAGAAAACAGCACAAATTCCAAATATTTGTTACAAGACAGTAATTCTTTTCCTCAACTACAGTAGGCCAGAACACAACAGTCACTGTTGCAGGAGAGCACTGCTTATTCATACTAGACATGCAATCTGTCTTACCTCTGCCATTATCTCAAGTCAACCTAGCAAAAGGCAGAAAATGCATCACCCCAAGCAGTTTCATTCACATCAATATTACGCTTGTTTCAGGCTTGAAAGGAACATAAGTGTGAAAGGAGGCAATGTGCCAATTCTCTTTTTCCTCCTAGGTACAAACTTCGGTTTGTTATTACAGCTGTAATACCCACTCCATAGTGTAAGTTTCTTTACACATGTTGTAGGGAGTTTCTAAGTTAGACATGAAGGACAGAGCATGTCTATTGGACACACTTTAAGATAAGGAAAGCAAAGAATCATTTACCCTCAGAAGTACCAGAACGCTTCATTCAGCTCTTCAGACCACATGGACAATGTACTTTGTTTATTAAACACTTCTGCAGAAGACAGCTTTTTCTGCATCAAGGGACAGATCTGGTATCATGGCCAGCATGGAATGATAAATGCCGTTATCCCACCATGCTGTCCCAATGGCAGCATCATGAAACAATGGAGCAAAGACAGACCTCTCAAGGGCAGCCCTCTCTGTTCTGAAGACACACAGCAGCCATGATGTATATGAAAATTACTAGTTAAAATTATTGCAATTAAACAGCAGATAATATCGTCCCAGTTAAACAAGGAAACAAGACAAGAAGAACAATGTATTTTAGTAGTTTTCTAGTAATAAATACGATGAATCAAAAAGTAAATAATGTCAAACAATCCTACAACATTCTTTCTGGGAGGAATGTATTGAAAACATAGGAAAATGGGTAAACAGCGAAAGATTAATAGCAAAGCAATTTTCCGATCAGCTGATCTGGATCACTGCCTCCAAACTGAGCTTATGCGTAATAGCATTAAAGTTAGCTCTGAGCAAGGAAATGCAATGAATGACTTCAAACCCCAGCATTCAGTCTCTGTACTTGTGTAACAGAAGTCGCTTTAGCAGTGAATTTAACTCATCCAAGTTGCACAAGAGCATTTCTACACAGAAATCTGCATTAAATTTGTCTTGGAGTATGCCTGTATATGCAATATTGATAATACTGCACATTTGAAAGATGGGTGGCGTATCTTTCTTTGTATTGAATATATTCTACTGGCCTCACATATATTTTTTTGGTTCGTCTATTCAAGTCAGCTGCCGTCATACAGATACCATCTTTGCAACAGGGTGTTTTATGATAAAAACTAGACACGAAAACCCCCATGTGTTTAATGAAAAATGCAGCCTAACCAGAATAGTCCAATAAGTTAAATCCAAAGTCACGTTCTTTGCCACCTGTTTGGTATATTAAAGAATTTGTGAGGATAAATTCACAAAGAATGCAGAAACATGCCAGAGCGATCAGCAAAATGCCCTTGTTGTCATTCCATCATATACCAAGTAAATATTAATTTATTTCAAGAATGCTAGTGATAAGATAAAAGGCACAAATATTTTAAAACATGTCAGCTTGCAATTGCTCTATTTCAAGAGTGTTTCATATATGATTTAAGCATTCTTATTTAAAAAAAAAAAAAAATCCAGTAAAGTGCAAAAGTCAGATTCCAAATAGCAGTCATTTACCCTAGGAGATATGACTCTGCAATTTGTCTGTCCAGTTTGAAAATAAATTAAAATTCTGTATGACTGTGCACTTAACGTGTATAATAATTGTTGGGATGAAATATTAAGAACAAAGCATGAGCTTAATAAAGGCCTTGCTATATAAATCCAAAACCACTTAAAAGTTGTCCTGCAGTCTTCCAAAACTACATTACAAGAAAAAAGAAAGAAAAAGTTTTATGTTTTATGTTGAGCGCTTGGGAAAAAAAACGGTGCTCAAAACACTTCTTCAGCCGAATGGCATCAGTTCAATGTACAGCAGCCCTAAATTATGTGGTGAGAAAGTTTGCACAATCTCTCCTACACTTCTCACCTGGAGAAGACTGTGGGCATGTATACTTTATGCACAGCAGATGCAGCACTTCAGGGATATGGTGGCCCAGAGACAGCTCATCAGGACCTACTGTTGGCATGCATTAAGTGCAATCACTTGGAATGTGCAGGGATGACTTTTACTACCCGTGTCACCTCTCCGACATGATTAGTGCTGAGATACTTGCTCACCACCAGTCTCCTTTGTCACAAAGAGATGTTACCAAACTATTAATATTTTGGGTGCATGTTCTGGAAGCACTACTTAATAATCCCCCACCTCTTTATCCTCACAACAATGTGGAAATTCAATTTATTGTATATGAAAAGAGCATTTGTCATACTTCACTGTCAACATGGCTTTTTCTCTCATAGTGAGATCTTAGGTTGGAAACCACATTGTTCTTCAGTCAGCCTACACAAAAAAAAGCTGGGTAATAGAGCAGGAAACTCAAAAGAAGGCATATGAAGAAAGGCATTGATCACTGAAAGAAGAACAGCAAGAAACTAGGAATTTCCTCTGGCACCCCCAAGCAGTCGGAGAAAAACTCTACAATGGCACTCAGGTTCTGCTGAGCTCTTTCATGGGCTCAGAACTGACAGAGGCTTTCAAGACACCATGGAAAAAGGACTTGTGCTCCAATCCTAACTTCCAGCATTTCAGTCAATGTAGCTGAAACATCCTGACTCCTTCAAAGTACAAACAGAAAAGGATTTCGCCCTTGCACAGAAACTTCCTCTAAAAAGCAAAAAAGTTAATGGTGAAGCTAATAAAATGCATTTAATCCACGCAGTCTCTAAAATTAACTCCTATTTTTGGAAGCACAACGGGTTCCATATTTAGCAGGAAGATTCAACCTCTCACAGTCTTACCGTGTCTTTATTATGATGCCTGAGAGCACCTCAAATTTCCAAGCCAAAACACTGGAAACAAGGAAATTAAGAGAAAACTTGTCTTGTCGATAAACAAATGACATAGCCACCAGCACCAGCAGGGCAGATTCAATTTTTGTGTGTGTTAAAAGCCATGTGCAATGTTTTTATAGCTGGAGTACACTCCAAGTAACTTAGCAATATTATTCAGGCCAACCCCAGGGCTTAGACTCGCATATGAAGAAAAACTAGTCCTACTGTACCAGGGGGTGAAATGGAGACCATGACAGTGTTTAGACTGCAGACAATAATGTAATATATATTATTGCTGGCTCCTGTTTAAAACCCAGCTTCAGGTCAATCATGCAGCCTCAGCGGTCAGAGCACTCGAAGAATCCCCAGGATTTTCCTGTTATGTGTGTTTGTTTTGCTTGGTTAAAACAGACACCTGATGAAAGTCATGATTTTTCTCTCTCTTTCAAATATATCAAGCTACAGGAAGAATCCAGGTTTTTCTCTTGAAGACAAAAGCAGATTCACTACAACCCACAAGGAAAAAGCTTAAGATCTACAGACTTATCAGCTGGTTTTATAGCAAGATTCATGCCTTTGAAGGTTAATTCATTTATTCTCTCTCATCAGGAGACATATCACTGAGCTGGGCATGTTTGTAGATGTGAATTTTATGAATCACACATCTTAAAAGCAAGCACAGAAATAAGGGCAGGCTAGAACCATAGCTGGGGGTCAATACAAAACATGTATTGACTAGGGTAGAAGTAATGAATCTAGGATGTAAGCCCTCCGGCACACACCTCACCATTAATTTCTTTTTCCATAGATGAAACCACAGTTAAGGGATTGGTGGGCTGCTACTTCCTAGAAGAGATCTTTGAGCCTGACTTTGTGGCACTCTCTTGCCAGAGCAGAGTAACGTCTCCTCAGCTTCACATATCACCCAACATGCCAGGCACAACAAAATGAGCTACAAGTCCCTTGCACGTGGCAGATAAAGGCATCATACACAAGTCCCTGACAAAAGTTTTACAGATGTCTGAAGGATTCTCATAACCGCTAAGTCTCCCACTGAATGGTTTTGACACATCTGGTAACACACAAACTTCTGTGGATGGTGGCTGGTCAACCACCTATTGCATGTCCTCGGTATTATCCAATCCATGTGAGACAACGACAAATACTAAGAAGACACTTACATTTATTTGGTTGTAATATTTTTAGTCTTTTTTCCC